GTGTGTGTGTGTGTGTGTGTGTGTGTGTGTGTGTGGGGAGGGGGAATCAGTTATTTGATGTCCGACGAAACAAAAAAAAATTAAAAAAAAACGACAAAACATCGAAAATAAAATTGGTATCACAATGTGCGGGGAAAAAACCCACTGCCCGAAAAATAGCAAAAAATTGATAAGCATATGTAATAGCAAAAGACAGCGGGTGTAAATATGGGGAAACCAGCAACCTAAACAAAAAACTTAGGAAAGAAAAGCTCGGCCTATGGGTACATTCCAGTATTGCCACATCGGTGGTTCAAGTGATCTTTAGTGGTCATTTCTGTGCACCTCAGCGGTCAATTCAAGAAATTTCTGCCCTGGTAAAAATGGGGGAAAAATTTATAACGAGTAATTCAGCCATACACGTTCAAATGTATAATTCAAAGTCGACCAATACGATCCGGAAACTTTCCAGCTACATCCGGTATGGGAAAACATCACAATACACATCAATAAAATGGGATCTCCAAATCGATTATCTCGGCCATAAGGTGGATTCAGGGAGGATTCCTGGAGGAGGGGGGGGGGGGCAGATTTTGCCAATTTTTTCTTCCTCTTCCCCTCCCCAATCGTCCCCTCCCCCAACCACAAACTCTACTACTTCCCCTTGCCCCTCTTCCTCCTCGCCGGACTTGTCACCACAATGGGAAGCTTCATTATCCTCCCCCTCCCCTCTTTTCGCCGGTTGGGCCTAAACTGTGGCGACGACTAGAGGGAGATGGAGGGAGGGGGGAGAGAGAGGAAAATGAAAGTGGGGCTGCTGGAACTGGGGAGGGGGAAGAGGGAGCGACAGGGAATATCGAAGAGAGTTTTCTACAGTAAAACAAGTAGATTGCAGCTCCCAGGTCAACCCTAGAAGTGCAGGCGGTGGGATGCGCAAATGCAAGAGAAAGTAATGAAGGTTGGTGGTGAGAGTGAGATAAGACATTTCGGTCCATTAAGTCATATAACTTCTGTCAGTGCCAACAATTTCTATCAGTATCCATCGTTCCCCCTCTCCTCCCCCTGGATCCGCCAATGGTCTCGGCAATCGTAATATCTCGCTTTATTCACTCAAATGTGAAAAAAGTGAAAGAACATATTACTTTATCAGTTGTTGTAAATGATTTTTAATAGCAAGGTCCCTCTTCGCAGCAATTACCAGGACAACCGCAATAATGTTTTGCTCGTTGTTGTCAACAACCATCGGTTTCTGCTCGCCTTCCGCTGATGATGAAACCTAAAAAAAAAATCAGAGATTTTGGAAAAAAAAATTTAAAAAATTTTTTTTGGAATTTTGAAAAAAATCCGAAAAAAATTTGGAAAAAGAAACCAAAAAAACCAGAAAAAAAATATATTAACTTTATTTTGATGCAATAATTAGCTACATTTTATCGTAACACATCAATCAACGCTCAGGTAGCATTCCTCCCGTGATTGTTGCTTGTTGATCGAAGTTGAATGACCTGGTCAGGCGACGGTATCAGTAGCTTGACCACTAGTTCAGTTTGCTGAGGATGTTGCCCGACCAAAAAAAGGTAATTTAACCCGCAAAAATGGGGGGAGGCGGCGGAAGAAGGCGGAAGGGAGAGGGGGAAGGAAGGCTATTCTACCGCAAAAAATCATAGCAAATCTCAACAAAAAGGGCAGTTTAGTGAGACAAAAAAACGAATTTGTGAGACACTCAATTCTGTCACATGAAATCATTGGATAACCTTGAAATGCTCATGAACCAGGCTCGTCAATGTTGGCCGATTTGTCTGGGAAAACAAGTGAATATCCGGCGAATTTTCCTCAAAAACAATAATCCATTCAAGGTACTCAGTTTTTTGTGACCCCGTACAATGACAAGAAAAACCAACCCCTTTTTGACCCACCCAGTGTTACGAATCAGATTAAAATGCCGGGGTATTTTTAAGAAAAAGCTCAAATCTAGCCTGCCCCTCCGCTCAAAAAAATTTTTACAGCCTTGCCAACGTGTGGTTGCTACTTATATAAAGCTAACATAATTCATGCCGTAGAAACAGTCATTTTCTTGTAATTCCACTTTTCAAAAAAGACTCGGTACTTATAGTTTACAAAGCTAACATAATTCATGCCGTAGAAACGGCCATTTTCTGGTAATTTCATTTTTCACCACAAGACTCGGTCATTTTTTTTTTCCAGTTCCACTTTTAGTGACGAAAATACTCAGAAAAGAGCACAACGAGAGAGAGAGAGAGATGGAGGGTTTTTACCTCAATTCCGACTGCTTTGGGGGGAACCTTTACCTCAATTTCGATTGTTACGGGGGTTTTTTCCAGTTCCACTTTTAGTGACGAAAATACTCAGAAAAGAGCACAACGAGAAAGAGATGGAGGTTTTTACCTCAATTCCGACCGCTTTGGGGGGAACCTTTACCTCAATTTCGATTGTTTTGTGGGGAACTCTTACCTCAATTTCGACTGTTTTGGGGAAAACTCTTACCTCAATTTCGGTTGTTTTGGAATGCTTTTTACTTGAATTTTTACCGCAATTCCGATTATTTTGGGAATGCTTAAACTAGATGGAGGGAAATAAAACAATTCCGTGGATCTGCATTGATAATTTTAAATCTTTCTCGTAATTAAATCCCAATTTTATTTTCCCTCTTAACAAATCCGCATTAAGCTTGACCTCATCTACAATTTGTTAAATTTTAAACCTTAGTTTCAGCTGCTTTCGCTGCAGTATTTTGCATGAGAGGCGGCATAGCACCAGGCAAAACATTCGCTGTTTTGCTTTCCAAAATTCTTCGATCATTGACCTGAAAATAAGGTATTATTTCTAAGAAGTGCCGATGCTTTTATGCCCAAATACCCGTAAGGAGGACAAGAAACGAACGAAA